CATAATAATAAGTGATATGGTGTTTACCATTTTTCCAATAATTGTAAAGACGAGGAGCTAGTGATAAATTCGATAACGTTGAATCCAAGGTAACAAAGTAAAAAACAATAATTACATTTTAGTCAAATTGTCAGATTGGCATATGGGTGTAATAGGACATTCAATTAATCAGATAAAAAGCTATTAAGTACAACAGCTATCAATATTGTTACCAAAATGTATACATATATACATATATATATGTGTATATATTATGTTTACCAAATGATATCGAATTTATCAGTTAAGCTCCTAGATACCTAGATTACAAACGAAGAAATAGTATAAACAATGCCGCACTTACCAACTATAACACCTCCCTCCCAATATTTTGAGGAAGTATATCTCGCAAACCAATCAACGAAAAATAAAAACGTTAACTCGTAAATTCATTTAAAAAATGGTTTTATTAATTTATGATATGTTACTATTTGAAAATCAAAAGTTGATAGTGGTTTTTACAAGGGTGAAAAAAATTTAAACATTATACGGTATTAGAAAAACATAAACCTAGAAGTTTAAAAAAAAAAATTCATAAAAAGTTAATGCTTTTCGAAATAATTAGTATCTCCACTTAAATGGATCACTCTGTATATTCACAGACTATGTTACCTATGGAAATTAATTGATAGTTTCTTTTAGACTTTAGTCTGTGGATGAATATATAAATCTGTGGGTAAATAATTCACGGCTAAATCGTATACCCAGCTTTATTTAAATCTATAGGTTGTCAACAACAGCGAGGTCAGTTTTCGCAGCCAAAWTTTTTTATATTATTAGCCGTTGCTTCCAGGGCATAGCACGAAGGTAGGTTAGGTTAGGTAATAATTATTTGTTATTCAGTGTCGAGGCCACGAACTAAGATATTAATATAATATTATGTCTAAAGACCTTGGTTCGTATATCATCGTATTGTTCTGTCAAATAAATGTAATATATATTCAAATACATTTTTTTATTCCAATACCATTTTACCTTATGAAAAAATTATTTGAATAGGTATACAAAATAAAAGTATTCTTTGTAGAACTGGGCCTAGGTTGCTAATAGTTCTCAGACACCCCAACATCTTAAATATTTACTTTTCTTAAGCTCTACATATTATAGGTATACCGTATATCTTTCTTTAAAATTTKAATGAACCAAAATTTAATTATAGTAATTTAAATATAGTTATAGATTTATAGTATAAATAGATATATAGACCCATGACGCTATATCTCCAAGTCAAC